CGTGCATTTGAGGACCTCAATGGACCTCTGAGGACCCACATGAGCAGACCTATGGACAATTATTTTATTGAACGAGTATTGGGAAATCAAAAATCGACATTGTATTGTCAATACCTGCAATAGCCAGCCAATACATTAGACATCACATGACCGCTTGGTATTGCAATAGTAATACTCCAATACTCGTCAATACATTGAACCATACATTGGTGGTCAAACAGTCGCACTCATTTATTTAGGATTAAGGATAACAGGTTGGCATGCCGTCAGGCCAATCCTTATGTTCCACCAAAAAAAACACGCGCATGAGTTGCGCAACTCTGGGACGTTTTTGCACAAAAAATCATCCCTTATGTACTCACATGAGTTAACTCTCGCGCGTTCATCAAAATAGAGTCCTTATGTACTGAAGTTGAGTTGAATTACTGGAGTTGATCTTGGTTGATGTTGGTCCGTCCACATCGCCGACGACTGATGGCACAATGATAATGAAGGCCTGATTGATCGATCCCTTGCGTTTCCCTTCCTTGCAAGCAACATGTCCTGCCTAGCAGTAGACGAGAATGAATTTTTACAGTTGTTGATTGCGTTTGATGAAATGTCGTCTTCCTCTTCAGACGAGGAGGAGCAAAAAGAAAGACCAAGGAAGCGCCCCTTTAAACACCGAAAAAGCAAAGGTGTTGTTATGTTCAGAGATGACAATGGTGAATTGAAAGTCCTCCCTCCGACAATGTCCCTCTGGTACAACATGTATTGTCAGACGGGATGTCAAGAGAGGATGTCAGACTTTCATTCCAAATTCAGGCGTCGATTTCGACTACCATATGATCAATATAGAGAATTGGTGGAAATGTGTACCGCTGACTCCATGAAGGAGGACGGAACCAGTCTATTCAAGCGTTGGCGTCCAGGAAAGAAAGCCGCTTTGACTGGAAAACCTGCAGCTCCTTTGGAATTATTGGTATTGACAACATTGAGGTATCTAGGCAGAGGTTGGACGTTTGATGACTTGGAGGAGTGTACAGCTATCAGTGAAGAGGTTATCAGAGTTTTCTTCCACCAGTTCATCAAATTTGGGTCCACAACTCTGTACAACAAGTACGTTGGTCCACCATTGACTGTCGAAGATGCCATTGACTTGTGTATACGAGAGTATGAAGCAGCTGGCTTTCCTGGATGCGTTGGATCCATGGATGCTTCCCATGTTGAGCACCAAAGGATCAGCTTTAAGCATAGACAGGCTCATTTGTCTTTCAAGTTGCCATTTACTTCGAGGACTTACAACATCGTTACAAGCCATCGACGAAAGATCTTTTCTACGACCGATGGTCATCCCGCAAGATGGAATGACAAAACCTTGGTTCGGTATGACGACATGGCATCCACGCTGCATGACGGGACAAATCCACTTTGCAATTTAATATTTGAGCTATACGCTTACGACGAGAACAACCTAATCATAAAAGAAAGGTACAAAGGAGGGTGGTTGATTGTCGACAATGGATACTTGAATTGGGGAGTGACTATCCCACCAATGAAAGACACAGATACCAGGGCACAGTATCGATTCTCGAAGTGGTTGGAGTCAATGCGGAAGGACGTTGAGTGTACCTTCGGGATATTGAAAGGCCGATGGAGGGTGCTAAAATCTGGGATTCGAGTGCATGGAACTGACAAATCTGACATGATGTGGAAGACTTGCTGTGCTCTTCACAACTGGCTTCTTGAGATCGATGGGTTGGATAAAGACTATACCTCTGATTGGGAAGGCGAACTCGGAGAATTGAATGCCACTGATCTTCCCAATGCTGTTAGAACTTTGCTGTCGAATACCAACCCGAGTGCACGCAGCTATGCTGGAAGAGCCGTTGACGAAGAGGATTACTTCCAAGGTTCTCTCGTTCGAGATGAGGATGGCGCAATTATTGTGAGACATATGAACATGACAGATTTTAGACAAAGACTTATCACCCACTTTGATATTGCATTCAAGAAGAAGGAAATTATCTGGCCCAAAGCTAGGTTACAAATGGACGAACCATACGCCAATGTGCAGCCTTGACACTAAGACCAATCAAACACTTTGATATTGCATTCAAGAAGTAATTTATTTGGGCCGTCGGTTGACGTTAGTCATCATTGTATGTAAGCTGTGCTGTTTCCGATTCGTCATCAAGAAAAATCACTTCATTTGAGAGGTCATTAGTTGGGGAGGCCGACAATTCTCCAGAATCTCTCTTCCTTCCGCTCGTTGTTTCGTTCTTTGGGTTAATTGCCTCAATTTCTGCAAGCATTTGATCATCCAGATCCTTGTACTGGTCAGTTAACTCCTCCAATTCAGTCTCGCAGTCCATGTAGACCTTGTATGGAACGTACGTAGCGTAGTAGTGTTCGTGGTCATCGAAGCACTCAGGCAAGCTTCTCCATCGAGTTCTTTCGGTTGCTTATCAACGCAACCCGCTTGTCCAACGAAACTTTCATCGCATTGTATTTGTGGCTTACCAATGAACTGCTATGATAATACGTAGTAACCATGTACCAGGTACGTCGTAAGTGGTACCTTCGTACCCCATTCACAGTCAATTGGACGTACTTGTTGGAAAAAATACTTCGTATGTTGGTTTCCTGGACAGTCCCAGTTCTATGTTCTATCATTTTCGTTCTCACAGTCAACTCGAAAACGATGGTTTTGTAACTGTTGCTATTATAGTCGTTGAACTATGAAACTATATCATCCATTCGACGTTGTATTCTAAGTATGTTGGCTACCAACGCTGAAAGCGTGATTTTTTCCGCCTTTCAAACGTTTCGATGACGATCAAAATACGTGCTTCTCCACCGTCTTTCGAGATGGTTGTTTCTCAATACGGCAGAACGTTTGCATACTTATAGTAAAAAGAAATCACATCGTCCGTTCCATGGGATCTCGTAGGTATGTTGCCTAACCAACGCTGAGAGCGTGATTTTTTCCGCCTTCCAATCGTTTCGATGACGATCAAAACACGTGTATCTCCACCGTCTTTCGAGATGGTTGTTTCTGAATACGGTAGAACGTTTGCATACTGATAGTAAAAGGAAATCACATCGTCCGTTCCATGTAATCTCGTAGGTATGTTGCCTAACCAACGCTGAAAGCGTGATTTTTTCCGCTTTTCAAACGTTTCGATGACGATCAAAATACGTGCTTCTCCACCATCTTTCGAGATGCTTGTTTCTCAATACGGCAGAACGTTGTATGAAGATAGTAAAAGGAAATC